TTATTGCTTATACTCTCTCTTCAACAAAATTAGAGATAAGGGCAAAATAGTTTCTGCTGGGTATTGAGGGGGTAAGGGGGAGAGGGAGGGGGCGGAATGGGTGATAAGAGAGGGGGTGGGGGCAGGAGGGAGAAATGACCCAAGCATTGTATGCACATATGAATAATAAAACAATAAAAAATAATAATAATAATTATATAAGAGCTTAAAACTAGGAGATACTGGATGAAAAGCATATTGGAACTCACTCACTGCTGCTTGAGTCCAGAAAATAAAAGGTTGACTTAAATACACAATAGGTAACATCACTGTGCAAAAAAGAAAACATTCATTAAAAAAATGACAATCTGACCTTTCAAGTTACTAGAAGAGGATACTTAAAAGCAAAAAAATTTTTGTCAATATCTAATACTAAAATGCCTAATTTCATATGTAAAAGTACATTCTTCTCTTTCAATTTAAAAAAAAAGGAGGGGGGGGCCTACTTTCTACTCTGAGCTAAGCCCAAGATAATAAAAAAAAAAAATACAAATGATTTCTCAGATTCAGATTGTTTTCCACTATTAAATCTTATAAGAGCTCTCTGCTTAGTGACCTCTTCTTCACTAGAAATCCTAAGACTCACCTAACATTTGAAGATTGGTGGCATGGAAACATATTGTTTCATCCATGTGCTGAAGAAGCCGACCTGGTGTGCAAACAAGTATATTTATGTTGTTGATCCTCTCAGCTTCATGTTTCAGATCCTGAAAACAGTTGTTCCTTTAATTACACATACATGTCTCAAAGAAGCCTGTGTCACAAAACTGTAAAAGCCATCTGAATGTAGCATTTCATACTAGCCATTCAGATACTCTTAGAAATAAAAACAACTTCTTCCCTTCCATTTCTGTAACTTGTCCACATTTCTGGGCTAAATAAAATTCTCAGTGAAGACCTACAATATTCTAGAGTCTTCATCACACCCAGCATTTTCAGGACAAGATAAACTATCAAATGAATGATCGAGACTTGATTTCCTATTAAGTCTGCTAGAACTAACTTAAAAACAATTACTGGAGTTCAAGTGGTAGCACAGCTGCTTTGCAACCATGAAGCCTTGAGTTCAAACCCCAGTCCCGCCAAAAAAAATAAAAAAACAATTAAATTACTCCCATTCTTTAAGTCAGGATCCAGGGGCACTGAACAGGATCTCCACACCGCTACCACATTTTGTGAACTGGAAAAAAGACCTGAGTGCTGTTTTAGAGATTCTCTCCTTGAGAAAAGAACAGTGGGATATTGTTAAATGTTAGAGCCAAGGGACAGGTACACGAGTATATGATGGTTTATGATGCCATTTTCTTCTTTTCTGTATATTTGCATAGAAATTCAAGAACTATTTATCCTCAAGTCTAGAGGAGACCCTAGCAAATCAAGCACTGCAGGTGAACTCTAAGGTAAAACAAAAGTTGAGGAGGTTTTGCCATGACCTAAAATTAACATTCCTCAAAATGGTCTACCTTCCTTTCTTCTCCTGCTGTCAT